TTGCCTTTCTCCGAACTTGTGCGCCAAGGCCAGCTCTTTGCATAAAAGACTGGCTCATGAAGTTGCGAGTCGCGCCGCTATCCAGCAAAGCGCTGCAAGACGCTTGCCCAACCTGGATGCGGACATACATGAGCGGTGCATTGTTGTTATCGTACCGCTGCGTGCGAAACTCGCGGGCCACGTTGGTAACGTACGCCAGGATGTCCCCCACTGCAACTTCGTCATCCGTCGGCGAAGTTGGTGGTGCATAGAAGGAAAGGTAAGTGTGGAGATGAGCGCTAAGTGCTGCGCATTGCGGTCTCGGCAAACAGCCTGTGGTCGGGAGAGGAAGCCATGCAAAGTCCTCAGACGTGAGCGGGTCCAAAACCTCTATCTTGAACTCGCGCGCCGAATCCCGTGACGAACCACTTGAAGACGATATGTCGCTGTTGCCGGACGGAGACGAAACCGCACACACTCCTTGTCCTTGAGCTTGAGTACCCAGCGTTGGAACGAGCCGGGCAGCATAGTCCTCAAAAGAAAATAGAAGCGGAGGACTGTCGACTTCCGCGTGCGCCTCGGAATAAAGGCTGGTCACTCACGAAGAAACCAGTTCCAAAGGCGTCGAGAGTGTCGTCGCATCACTCTCGGTGGTGCTCAGTTTCCCTGTCTACCCTTGCCCTTCAGTGGGCAAACCGGCGTCAGATGAAGATCGTTGTTGCACCACAGGCAATAATGGAATCTCTCGCGCGCCTTGTATGCGGACTCGGAGAGGCCATACGGGGTCCATGGGCCTGTCTGAGCTGCTGCACCGGGCCCGGGGCTAGAAACGGTGTGTGTCTTCGTCTTGCCGCGCCCTCGGCCTCTGCCGACGCGGCCACCTTCCCGGGCGGCTGCGAATCTGTCTCCTTCACTGGCAGGCGCAGCCTCGCTGGTTTGGTCTAACGGCGCTGCCGCTGCGACCACGGCCACTCGTGGCCGATGCTGGTTCCCGCTCGGGCCTGACGCAGAAGAACGGAGGTTCTTGGCCTCCTTGTTCGTAACGATGATCTGCGCAGCCTTGTCGAATAGTTCCGCTGTCGTCGTCAAGGTGTCCTCGACATGCGTCAGGGCATTGCTCAATGCCGGACATAACCTTGAGATGAAATAGTGGCGGATGGCCTTGAAGCCCATCTGGATGTCTGGGACTGAYGTCAAGCGTTGGTACTCGGCGATCCAGTCCGTACTCGGCAGCGAGCCTTGCTCGAAGACCATAAGCGTGTCCATGACTTTGATCTCTGGCGGCTCCAACTGGAACCGCTTGTGCCACGCTGCCTTCAGATCATCCCAGCTGATCATGGTGTGCAAGTCCGCTGCTACCACTCCATACTTGGACAACAAGTTGTCCAACCACGCCTGACACGCGCCCCCTGAGCGAGAATACAAGTAAGCATGGTGCTTGTTCTCCTTGACGTTGTGGAGCTGCAGCGTGAGCTTAGACTTGCGAAACCATGGAATTGGATCTGTCTTGATTGAGTCGTGGAAGATCTCCTGCCCATCGAACTTAGGAGCTGTCTCGCGTGGCTCCGGACTCGAGGTGGTGGCGGTAGTGCAAATCCGTTGCTGTAATTGTTGCGTCACGGTCTGTTGTAACTGTGCGCCGTCCTGGAGGCAGCCAACGTGCATCTCCAATGCGGTGAGGCAATCGGTAGTATTGGAAGAGCCTGCGTCGGCGGCAGCGACTGGTCGCTGCTCCACCCGCTGAAGGCGGTCTTGGAGCTGAGCTACCGAGTTGTCGAGACCAAGGATCTCCGCTTGCTGTGTAATGCAGGTTGCCAGGAGATCCGTGAGATGCGAGAGGAGGAGCGCTATCTTGTTTGCGCTGTCCTCCAACTGGCTGTTCTCGGCCTCGCTTCGCCATTCTGCTGCCATGGTAAGTAAGACCCGCTCTCCGGTGAATATCTTCTCACGACGCTGTGTTCTTTCGTCATCAGCAGCCCTTGCTGCTGCCTCATCGTGCTGGCGCTGTTGTTGCACGGCCAGCAGACGTGCCTGTTCGGCATCCTCTGCCCTTTTCTTGGCTGTTGCGGCAGCGTCATCTGCCCGCTTCTTTGTCTCGGTACTCCAGGCTAACATGCGGGCCTGATAGGCCTCGTCTGTTTCCCCGGCCTTCTGGTCCATGACTGCTGTCTGTGAACGCAACAGTATAGACCAGACCGGTGCCTGCTGATGTGGTATCCCTTGCTGCTGACGTGTCCTGCTGACGTGTCCTGCTGACGTGGTCTGCTGACGTGGCCTGCTGACGTGGCAACTTACCAATGCCGTCCCAAGGGGTACCCAGAGACAACCAGAAACGGCAAGGCGAGAGATGGCAACAACGTAGGTAGGGAGGGGTGGGTGGGCTAATCGCCCAACTCACACTTAGATAAGGAGCCACTAATCAAACCAGAAAAGTTTGAACTTTGCAAAAAAAATTTTGAGAAACTAAAAAAAATAAAAAATCCCGATTTTTGCAAGTTCGGTAGGTCTCCCAATCTCCCTTGAAGTACGAAATGATCTCTGAAAGCGAAAAAAAAAAATTCGACTTTAGACTGCAACCGATTTATAGAACCAACTGACAAAATCCAAGAACTACGAAAAAAGTCCGAACAGAAATGACAACTATTCGGATTTATTCCGATGGGAATATTCGCAGTTTGAAAAAAGAAAAATATATATATATATATAATACGTACAGGAGGTATTTCCCGTACCATTTTCAGAAAAACGAATTTCAGACAAGAAGATATTCTGAAGTTCTAAGTACGGGAAATGCAACAGAAAATCGAAACTTTCAAAAAGAAATATATTCCGGATTTTTTAACAACGAAATTTCGAATTTTCAGAAAGAAAAACGAAAATAGGAATTTCAGATGTTGCGATATAGCAGAAAATAAAATCCGAGAAAAGAAAAAAATTTCGATTTTTTTTTTTGTAGTAAGGTCAAGATCGTGATTTTGGGGTCTGACTAGTATATCCTAATCAACAGAAAAGACTAACTAGCTTTCTTGATCCCCGCACGCGTGTCAGATCAGATAGTCCTGATTCACGTGCAAAAGCTCCGATACCAACTGTTACATGCACAAATATGCAATATACGTAATAAACCGAAAATCTGCAATGTGATGAAAAKGACTGAATAGACAATGCGGTACGAGTAGAATCTCGACAAGCAATGTACATTCTCATTCATACATAAAGATGTTGAAGAGCGCAGGGAAGACTTTGATACAAAGACTGACCTGACAGGACTGACCTCGTTCACGTAGTTCAGAGTAACGAAGCAGAATGCTAGAGTACCTCTAACTAGCCCAATCAATGTTTGAACTTAGACTAACATGCATTGTATCCATCACGAAGTGTGAAGGAGCCTGGCGCTGCACACAGGAAGAAAGCGCCAGGTCCAGACATACACAGACGAAGAGATAAGGGACAGACGAAAGGAGGGGAGAAGATGGGAATGTCGTTAACACCAAGTCTTGGTCACCAATCCCAAATAGTCCCTCGTTGCCATGTTTGAATCCCCGGAAGTCGAGTCTGGATCAAATGTCACCAAGCTCTGTATCTCTTCTCTCATAGTCTGCAGATGCAGTGAAGTCAGAAGTGAGAGGGAGAGAAGAGATGGTGGACTGAGAAGAAGAAGAAGAAGAACTCTCTCTCTCTCTCTGTTGCGAACCAAGTACTAACATGTGATGTTGGCGCTGTGCTGCAGATACCTCGAAGACAAAGCTGGAGCAACGGCGCTGCAGGTAGGCACCTCTGACCTCCGCCCAAGCTCTCTCTCTCTAGTACTAACTAGCTATGGCGCCCAGCGCTGGAGACTACAGCTACCTACTGCGCCCAGCGCTGAAGACTACAAGCTAACGCTACTACTCTACACTGCAGCGCTCCCTCCAGAGTGC